TAGGGACAGAGTTTTTTAATTTGCTTAAAAAAGAAGATACTCTCTTTACATCTCTTCTAAAATCAATGCCTGCTCATAAAACTATTAAAGCAGTTACGCTTTGCCACATTAATTTCTCTTTTTTAACAGTACGATTCTTTTTCTCGAATCTCGAATATGAGCAGCGTCTTTGGTTGCGGAAGCTAACAGAAGATATTTAAGACAAAGAGGTTTTTCAGGGGGTTGTCAAAATAAATCATAATAAGTAATCAACTATGATTTTAGCATTATTTGTTTACTTTTCAGAAAAAATAACATACATTATGATTTTCTGTAAATTTAATATGTTGTATTATTCAAAATATGCATTAAAACTATTTTGAATGATGCTTCTAAATTTCTTATTATTAAGATAATTCCAACAAAATAAGAAAATAAGGTACAAATGAAATATCTAACCTAGGCAAAGACTTATTTTATGACGAATGATAATTTTTAGTTCATTTTGAGTGATTTTTAAGATAACTGTTATCCGCAAGATAATGAAAAGTATTATTATCATATGCATAAATTTGAATTGCTAATATGGCTGCATAAATTTGAATGTCTTCTGAACTAATGCATGTCATACATTAATGTATAATTTACAAATTTAGTATACACAGTATCTTGCAAAAAATGATATTTCACTGATTTAATTAAAAAAAAATTAGCATTAAGAAAATTTGAAATTATTTATTTCCAAAATATTTTCACTTTTTAATTTATTATATCGAAACATTGCATTGTATTTTTTTACTAAATAATAGCCATTGTTCTTAGGAATTCCAATAAAATTGGTAGTCTGTTGGATAGTGAATTTTATTACATCTTCTAATTTATGATTTACCTACGACTACAGATTTTCGCAAAATATTCCATATAATGTGTTGAAAAAGCATATCCATAGGATCTTCTTGTGAAAGATAGAACTGTATTAAATTATGTATTATTCTGTAACTGTATTAAAAGAACTGTATTAATTGTATATAACTGTATTAAATGTCTGTAATTGTATCAAAGACATATGTTTGTAGTATTAAATGTCTGTAATTGTATCAAAGATATACTATGTCTGTAACTGTATTAATAAGAACTATATTAAAAGATTTAGGTCGCATAAATCTCTTCATTTCTTACAAATTAAATTTATTCCAAAATATGTGCAGTTTTCATTCTTAACTCTTATTTTCATTTGTATCTGACCGCGTGAGATTGCAAAATTTACATGTAATGTTTTAGTTTTTCTCCTGTGAAATTCTTATGGGGTTTTAAGATTTTAGTATGTAGGAGCAAGGCTCTCCACGAACAAAGCGTTGGGATTCGATGATTTATGCACTGCATTACTGTACAAGACATTTCATATCAATATAGTGTAATAAAATGACAGTTTTGCAAAGTAAGTTTCCTTAAACAGAATTTCTCAGTACATGCATTGCTGCAATCCTGTAAAATAATATTTTTGTATCAGTTTGTTCTTAATTAGAATTAGAATTTCGTCAATTGAGAGAAATACATAGCATCTAGATGAATACATTAATTATTACACTAGAAATAAGAAAGAATCAGGTCATTCGAATGTGATGTAACTAACGTCTTTATTGTATGGTGATATTTTAATAAAATAACATTTCGTTTGATTTTTTGCATAGCAATAACAGACATTGTTGCTTATAATTATTTTCAAAAATTGTGAGTCATACTGCAAGTATTTATATGATTTTGCGTCACATTCAGTGGTAAATATATTAACTTTAATTATCAAGTATCTCTGATATATAACGAATAAAAGTTTTGGCAACAATAACTCACCAATGGCATGATCTACAAAATACATGTTCGTAACAACAATTTTCATAATACCAATGACATGTTATTCAGGAAAGAAAAAAAGGGGAAAAGTGGTTACTATTTTATTGCCTTCAAATTTTCATGAAACGTTCAAATTTATTCAATTCTAATACTAAACCTGAAAGAAATTCTTTTATTTTAGGCAAGTGAAATTTTGAGTAAAAATGATTGCTTGGAATTCAGGTAATGTTTTGGGGGCTATCTTCTAATCAATTAGTCAAACATAATCTAAAATTTAATTTTTTCGTATAATACATGAATGTAAGTATTCAAATTTACTGCTAATGCGTAATTATCTGAGAATTTGTAGACGTCATAAATTTTTAATTAACTAGATACATATAAACTCAAATAACTCTAATCTTTTCGCTTGATTTCTAATTTTTTATGGCTTTAAATTAAAGCTTCGTTTCATTTTAATATATTTTAAAAATTGAATTAAGTTGCACAGCTTTGTCATGCAAGCCATGCGATGCAGTCAGTATATATCGTTTACATTTCTTTGATAAACATATTTGCAATTTTAAAAATTATATTTTAATGATACTTCTTTTTAAAAATTTTGTAGTCTAAGTAATCAAGGGATACATGTACCTATAACAACGGTCTTATTTTATTATTGTTTTGACAGCAGAAGTTTTCAAAATTCATAAAAGAAGGAAACCGATGAAGGAAACAGTCGAAATTCAGAAAGGAATTTCATTATTAAGTAAAACAAAAAGTTACAAATTGACATTTATTAACTCTATAACGAAAAAAGACAGAAATCCTATAAACCGTTACGATCTGTATATTTATATAATCTTTCAGAAGACCTAGTGTATAAATTTGAAGTCATACGTCTCAAGGAAATGCATGTATTTTGCATATAATATTACATCACTTTTCTTGACTTATCAGTCGGTGTCGGAGTGCAGCGTAAATTAAACGAATAATGTTTATATATTATAGCATGTTGTATAAGCGCAAGGTTTTCTTGAAAAGTCTTTTATAGTGAACAATTAAACTCAAAGGGTTAAATCCATTGGTGCACTTATATTCTGAGTTTCCTTTTTACTAGGTAAATAAATTAGCTGCGTAGACCCTAAAAAGATATTTGTATTTACAAAATGAGAATATGGAGTAATATGCAGGATGTTATTTGCATTTAGTAAGCAGAAAACTCGCGAAGCAGTTAGTTCTCCATACATTTGAAGGAATTGCTATTTTTCAGGGAATTAGCCTATTGATTTTTTAAGAAAAGCCAAATATCTCATGGAAGTCAAAATATCACTTAAAATGGGCAAGACAGGATTTTTGTCTTCAGACATTTACGAAAAATTACATCGATTCCGCACTAAATCTTGATTTATTTCGATGTACCACATCGTTATTTGAATTCTTCTACCATGCTATTTATTAACCTCTTCTTTAATCTCCAGTTTATTTCCAAGTATTGGGTGAAAAATTCAAAATATTAAATACTTTTATGATTCCGAGAGGTATAATAAAAACATCAATTAAATTAGACACAAATTTGTGAAACTATTAAATCTTTTGCATAGAACGATTTTAGGCTTAGTTATAAGAGGAATTGCAATTTTTCTTGCACATACATTCACAGTCTATAAATATTTTCGATTTATTCGCTTAACTAAAATCGATATCACGGATTCGTTTAGTAAACCACACATTTTTACTAATTCAATCCATTTAATTTAATTAACTATTATTCTGAATATATATATTTATATATGTTGTATATCAAAATGGGAATTAGTATCAAAATACGAATATGAAAAATCCGTTTGGACTACATTTCTTAAAAGTTAAAGGATATAAGATTTTTATTCCATTTTCATTTGAAAATGAGTGAATATTTTGGAATTTTTTCCATGAAAACATCTCAGTCCCTAAACATATTAAAAAAACGTATGAATTTCACAATAATATATGTACAATTTTCGTTTATACACGACTTGTCAAAATAAAATAGAATCTTTCAAAGTTTTATATAAAAGACAATTTTAAGAACACGACTGAATACTAACTAATTATACGTTTAATTGCCTGATTCTGCAATGTGTTTTTCAAAATCCTGCACCCTTGCACTTTACGCACCCCGGGCTCACGATCAAGAAAGAGATTTCGGGCACTGCAGGCCTTGGCCCATTAGGGCTGTTGCACCACTGAGTTTAGTTTTAGTTTCATGTTGTCCTGCATGCCACATCCCGATTCTGATCTGTTTAGATAGAAGGCCATTCTAACCTCAAAGCAGATTTTTGACTCTACCGTGTTTTGAAACGGTAATAATTATTTTAACATTCAGGTTTTGTCTGTCTGAACAGCGACCATATTGTTCGGCTGACGTGAACGTAGCTTAGATTACATCTTCAAAACAGTGCAACTTATTTCATGAGAATAACAAAAGTACTTTTGGATTCGCAAAAATTTAATCTATTTATTTCACTCAGTCTAATAATCATAGATATATAATAAAACAGCTGGGAATTTTTTTCTAAATCCAGGATAATGTAAAACTGCATGAATGAGAAAACGCTGGTCGCAAAATGAAATAGCTAGCTTTGACAGACAGGGTAATGATTATTGTTCTATACAATACGAATCTCACTTTATAAACTTGTAGAAACATTAGGTATTTTTTGGAAGCAGGAAAGATGAAAAATATGCAACGCCTTCGCCGGTAATCGAACCACGGACATCTCAATTACGCGTTGACCGTGCAGACCGCTACACCACGAAGGCATGCTAAGAAGGCGGGAGAAATACCTTATAGACTCCCTCTTTTAAAGGGCGACTGCGGTTTTTAGAGGACCCAATCGCCAAATCCTGTGTGAGGAGAATCATCATCCAACACTCTTTTATTTCAGGCACCACTGTAGAGACATTAGGTATTTTTGTTGAAGCAGAAAAGATGAAAAATATGCAACGCTTTCGCCAGGAATCGAACTGCGGACCTCTCAATCACACGCTGAGCATGCAGACCACTACACCATGAAAGCACGCTAAAAAGGCGGGAGAAATACCTTATAAACTCTAACTTAATGTCATGTAATATATATATATATATATATATTATAATAAAATAAAAAAGAAACTAAAACTAATTACGTAATCATTTTAACTTACAGTTGTTCAGAGACGGTACAAAGTCCTTGTCTACGATGAGTTTGTCGTCAGAGGGAACACAGCGGTGCTGAGGTGCCAAGTTCCTGCGTTCGTGCACGACTACATCACTTACATTTGGAAAAGAGGAGATGGTGCATCTATAACATCAACTGCTTCTAGAGGTAAAATACATATTGTATTTACAAAAAAAGATATAATTTTGTTTTCTTTAAATATTCTAGTCTGTACAATTCTTCCTCCTATAGACCTTATAAAATATTTCCTTAAATTGAATTTTTTTTCTTTAAAGGCACTGTTGATTTAATTTCATATCAGTAGCTTCTAAATGGTATTTAAATAATTTTTAGCGATTAATATTTAGTAAACGTCAGCTTTAATTATTTCATTAAACGCACGTTCGTTAAAGCACAGAAAAATCAATCATTTTTGTAATTTAATACTTCTGTACAAGTTCTCCTTGTCAAGGAAAGTAATACATAAAATATCAGTTTCTTCTTTCTGCTCGGGGTTAAAGGATGTAAATGAAAAATGTATTATATATTAACAAATGTAAAAACATTGGGATATTGTGGAACAAAATTACTTGAAAATTCTGTTTGCCATCTTTGGGATTCTAGCTCGCGATCTTCAGATTATGTGACTCCTGACAGATATATCACAAAATGCATACGATAAAATTCTTTTATTTTGAGAAAGAACTACATTTACAGTTTTAAATAAACCACTTGTACATTTTTTACTTTCGTTGCTTAGGATTAATTTTATATATATTACGGCAAATACAGTAGGAATACTGTTGTATTGCTAAATCATGCTGTTAGAATAATCACGTACAAAATTTTGATAAGCATACAGAATTTTTAATCTTATTTTGAAATAAGAATTTTGACGTAATTAAATATAAACAAAAGTAATTAACCCAAGGCTCGTTTAGCATAACTCAATTTACAATTCTTTAAGTGAACTGTGCCCAAACAGGAAGCATAATCTTAAATAAACTCATTATATTAGATACAAAAAGTATTCATTTCCTTATAAAAGTCCGTAAATTCCATATTAACGTATTAAAGACACCATAAACATACAAATAAAGATTTTATCATAATCTTGAGACTTAGCTCCTGAGTATATATTTACATTCAAGCACTTAGTTTTACATAATCATTACTTTATCTTAATCTAAAGATACAGATTTACATATCAATTCTAACTTCAACAGGAGTTTAAGGAAAGGTACTTAAGTGTATATACATCGAAAATCCGGAAACTAAACAAGTTACAGATGCTGAAGAAAAGAAAAGCAGAAAATCAGGCTTCTCCTTATTAATGAAATCTGTCCTAATAGTCAATTCCAATTTTTAATACTGTTTGTTATTGTATGTCGAGGAGAGACATCAATCTCCAGCTCGCTAAATATTAGTTCAGAACTGTCTCCTTATGATACGTCCGAAAACAGGGACACAACGCCGGGATAATTGCACATCATCCGTTGGAGAAGCTGATATTCTATGAGCCCGGAACAGTCTTTTCATAGCCCTTTGGAAACGAATAGGAACACCACGCCGAAACATCATAGATTAATAGTCGTTGCGGAAACAAATATTTTGAATCGCTAAACCAGTATTTTCAATGCTCTCGCACCTTTTTAGTTACTTTGCTTATAAGAGCGTAATCGCAAAGACAGATTTTTAAATGATCATCACTTTTGGAATCAAATTTGATACGTTTCTGCGATACATACTTCCAGACAAGAACGCCACACAGACATAGCATTTCTTTCTCAGTAGATTTTTCATTCACGTATTTCTTCTAGGTCGACTCTGTATCTTTACTACAGCTAATTATTTTCCTCAAGACCAATATGTCTTCAGTAATTTCTCCTTTTTTTCTCGCGCATGCTCGAGCTTCATCACCGCATTCTATTCTTTGTTTCTTCCACTTTTACAAAAGTTCTACTAGATATTAACCGCAATTTTCGAAGTGTAGGAATAAATTCTTAAACGCATGCACATTGTAACCTTAAATCTGTGATGGGCAGAAACCTTTTTCATTCAGTTACTTCTTTAAACTTCTGTAAACTGGAACTCTCCTTCACTGCACACTTTTCACGTAACCTTTTTCACATAAAGATCGATAACCTGGAACATTCTGTCTTAAAAGTCCATGAAACTGAGGCAGTTTATCTCCACGCATAGATGTCCTTATAGACCAGTCGGGACGAAGTCCTTTCCCATAAATTACATTTTTATACCGAAGCTTCGAACACTTCTACTAGTCATCATCCGCAGAGGCACTCTAACCCACTTTTTTTCTTTTCTTTATCATTTTTGCTAAGCTCCTCATCCAACTGAAAGCAACTACCAAGCTAATCTAAAAAAAGCCAAGCCTTTTTCGACAAAATCATTTCTATTTGACTCTAGACCTGAATATTAATTAAATGGTGTTTTCTGACACAGCTACTCTTCCCGTGAGTTTAATTGGTAAAACACAGTTGGCCACAATCTTTTCTGAACAAACTGTAACCACATAGCAACTAAAATTATGCGCCGCGTATATTTTCTACAGCGCCCCACGAAAGATGAGTAGGGTACTTTCCTCTTCTCATTTGTTGTGGGAAATTCTCCGAGATGCATCCTCTGACAAAAGTTTTTTTTACCAAAAGCGTACTCTTCTGTTTGCATTATAATTCAAGAAACAAATTGAACAATAATTACGTTAATGCTCCAAGTAGAGGTATTTTTATACAAAGCAGCCGCAAACCGTTCACTTCCCACAACGAATGGTTTTCCAATAATTCACATGTAAGGAATTGTTTTAATTCCAAGACCATGTTCGTCCGCATGCGAGCTCTCTGTAGGAGCTTCTTACCAAGAGTGAGTGAGTGACGGAGGACGTGGGCACCATCCCTCTACCGTTACGATCAATTGGTATGAGCACCACGCCCGCCCTTATCTAGAATGACATAATTAGGTACTTAGGTTATCGCTACCCATTCAGACTTGCAAGGTACATATTGCCATACTCTGACTTGCACGACTATTACACATGCCGTACCATATTCGGACTTGCTTATTCATACTTGCATGGTGCATTTATATTCATATTGCATGGTACATATTTCACACATTTCATATTACACGTTACATTTACTGGGAAACTGAATATGACTTATGTTTAAGGTTCTTTGCATCCGTAAGGTTCAATATTTACGTTAATTATACATGATTAGATACTTAGGTTAACTCTATGCATTCATTATTATTTACAGACTTGCATGGTACATATTACACACAGAGAGATTGATTAATACTTATGTTAAAGGTACTTTACATCTTAGGTATTTAGGTTAACACATAGTTTAACACTACGCATTCATTATTGTTTACAGGTTTGCATGGTGCATATTATACACATTACATAGTACAGCTTATATTTACTGAGAAGACTTGCATTGTACATAGTTCACGCATTACATAATACAAATTACATTTCTAAGAATTTAATTATTAATTAATAATATTAATTAATACTTTCATGGTACATATCATACACATTTCATAGTGCAGTTTACATTTACTGACAGATTGATTAATACTTTTGTTTAGGGTACTTAATATTTATGTTTAAGGTACTTTACACCTGTTTGATTCAATTCTTACTATAAGTATGTATAGTTGGGTTCTTAAGTTAACACATAGGTTGGCTTTACGCATTAATTATTATTTACAATTTGCATAGTACATATTACACACATTAAATAGTGCATACTAATTAATTCGAATGGTACATATTATACACATTAAATAGTACTGTGAATATTGACATGGTACATATTACACACAATTACTGAGACATGGGGTATATTTGCATGGTACACATTACACACATTTACAATTTACAGTTAAAAAAAATACAATTGCTGAGAATATTAGCATGTTACATATTACAATAATATTAACATGGTACATGTTGCACACATTAAATAGTACAGATTACAATTACTGAGAAATTTAATAGTACTTAATTTCGTTATGTTCAGACTTGCAGAATTGCATTTACCTATTACCATATTCTGACTTGCATGACTATTATATGTTCTATACCCTATTCAAACTTGCTTGATGCATATACATTCATATTGCATGGTACATATTCTCACACGTTACATACTATATATTGCATTTACTCAGAAATTGTTTTTACTTATGTTTAAGGTACGTTGCATCCGCAAGGTTCAATATTTTAATATTAATTAAACATAATTATGCATTCATTATTGTTTACAGACTTGCATGGTACATAGTACACACATTACATAATATTGATTACATTTACTAAGAAATTAATTAATAGTTAATGATATTAATTAATACTTGCATGGTGCATATTACTTGCTTATTATAGTACAGTTTACATTTATTGAGTGATTGATGAATACTTGTCTTTAAAGTACTTAAATACGTTCAGACTTGCAAATCCAGGCTTGTATGATACATAAACATTCATATTGCATGGTATATATTTTACACATTACATACTACATATTGCGTTTACCTGGAAATTGAATATAACTTATGTTTAAGGTACGTTGCATCCGTTGAGTTCATATTTACGTAATCATACTTAATTAGGTACTTAGGTTAACATTATGCATTCATTATTATTTACAGACTTGCATGATAGATAGTACATACATTACATAAGACTGATTACATTTACTAAGAAGTTCATTAATAGTTAATAATATTAATTAATACTTGCATGGTACATATAACACACATTTCATAGTACATTTAACATTTAGTGAGAGATTGAATAGTGCTTAAGTTTAAGTACTGAGAGTGTTAGCATGGTACATATTACACACAATTACTGAAACATGGTACATATTACACACAATTACTGAGACATGGTACATATTACACACATTTACAGATTACAATTACTTAGAATATTAGCATGGTACATATTACACGCATTTACAGTTTACAATTACTTAGTATATTAGCATGGTACATATTATAATAATATTAGCATGGTACATATTACTACAATATTAGCATGGTACATATTACACACATTAAATAGTACAGTTTACAATTACTGAAAGATACATTAAGCAGTTTCTTACAATTCTGTGCCAAGTTTTACATAGTGCATA